CCTTAGCCTCTCCAAGGCTTTGTGGAGGCAGATTTCCTTGCTTCCTGTGAAGCCTGCCCTTAAGTTTCACACTCTGTTAAGTCACTTAACACTTTTCTAGCAACTCTGTTTCCATGGAGCTTTTTTTAAATTTTTTAAGATGTATGTATCTTTATTGTAAGATTTACAGAGAGAAGGAGAGACAGAAAGATCCTCCAACTGCTGGTTCATTCCCCCAAGTGGTTGCAATGGGTGTAACTGGCCCAATCTGAAGCCAGGAGCCAGGAACCTCTTCCAGGTCTCTTGTGTGGGTTCAGGCTCCCAAGGCTTTGCACCATCCTCAAATGCTTTTCCAGGGCACAAGCAAGGAGTCGGATGGGAAGCAGTGGGGCACGAATGAGCACACATATGGGATCCCGGTTCATGCAAGGTGCGGACCTTAGCTACTAGGCTTCAGCTACTGGGCTCTGTTTCCATGTTTTTAATAATTTTTTTTCCCACAGATTGCTCTTCTGTCCTTCCCATTGTTGTGAATTTTTGCTTTTTTTCTCCATTTTTATTTATTTTTAAAAGATTGTTTATTTTGACTTTCAGAAAAAGATCAGTCTTTTATCCGTGTATCTGCTGGTTTACTCTCTTAAGCCAGTCTGAAGCCAAGGAGCCAGGAGGTTTCTTCAGGTTTCCCCTGTTGGTGCAGGGTTCCAAGGACTTGCTCCATTTCCACTGCTTCCTCAAGTATGTTAACAGGGAGCTGGATCAGAAGTGGACCAGCTGGGACTCGAACTGGTGCACATATGGGATGCTGGCACTGCAGGTGGTGGCTTTAACCCCTTGTATCGTAGCACTGGCTCCCTACTCTTATTTTTTTTTTTATAAAGACTTATTTATTTTTATTGCAAAGTCAGATGGGTATAGAGGAGGAGAGGCAGAGAGGAAGATCTTACGTCCGTTGATTCACACTCGAATCGGCCACTACCGCTAGAACTGAGCCGACCTGAAGCCAGGAGCCCAGAACCTCCTCTGAGTCTCCCATGTGGGTGCAGGGTCCCATGGCTTTGGGCTGGCCTTGACTGCTTTCCCAGGTCACAGGCAGAGAGCTGGATGGGAAGTGGGACCACTGATATTAGAATCAGCACCCATATAGGATCCTGGTGTGTTCAAGGTGAGGATTTAAGCTGCTAGGCTGCCGCACTGGGCCCCATACCTGATTTTTAGCAAGAGTACATTAACGGTGATGTGAGGGCTTGTCAACATTGTTTACGTTTGGATTTTTGATCCAAGGCTGTATTTTCTCTCAGTTTAGTGCTTTCAGAAGACTGCAAGTGGTAGCGTATATGCAGCTCAGACTACGACAGTGAAAATATACCTCACACTGGCTTCTTGCTGGAACGCAGTTTTTGCTGCCTTCAGTAACCCTTTCCGCACAACCTCAAGAGAGATTGAAAAGTTGGAGTTAGAATGCTTCTAGACACGCTACCATAGTATATAGCGTGATAAACTTCGTCTTTTGGATAAATTCCTGTGATTCACCTGTAATTGCGTGAGAGTTCCAGGAATTCTTTCCTCCTCTTATGAAGTTCTCCTGCATGTTTGATGAGAGAAAGAGAATTGTGATGTATGCATATGTGGGGATTGTGTGTGTGTGTGTATGTCTGTGTGTGTGTGTGTGCGTGCCATAGTCTAATGCTTTTCATAAAGACTGCATAAACTTGCAATTACTGCAAGTAAAGCATGAAAGATTCAGACACTTGTTAAGGAATAGACTGAGTGTGAACAACCACATTTTAAAAGCATATTTTTAAAGTTATTTTTCAGATTTCTCCATCAGAAACAATAGTAACAAAAGGAATATGCAAATATCGTGAGAATGTAAAGTGTTTAAACTACATTGCACCTTTTACCTGTGTGCTTTTTAATTTGTGTTCTTTCATACAATTTTAACTGTATGAAAGATCATTTGTGAAATTTTTCTACTAGCTTATATGCAGTGGGAAATTGCCGAATTGAATCTTTATAGACATGTGGAGAATTTTTTCCGCGTTCTGATTCTGTGCACATGGATAACTCACACATTCTCCTTTTCCCATCCGAGTGCACATCCACTATGTGGGGTACTTGTTTCAAGGGTTCAATCTCAAGCTTTCCAAATGTGACTCCATTTCTCAAAAGGAACATCTGAATGCCTGAAGTTAATGTTGTAGCAAGAATGTGAAACCTGCTACACTTTTAAGTCAAATTGATCAACTTTATTTTGCGTTATTAAAACGGACTCTTCTTTCCAACACTTTATCTGTTTTGGACCGATCCATCAGATTTCTGTGTAGCTTGGTTGGTCCTTCCTTTGGAAATAAAAGGAAGATGCATGGCCGGCTCATGTACAAGTGAGACAGTAGTTCTATGATATAGGGCAGCTCAGATAATATTCAGAAAATAAAAATCCAGCCAACCGAGTATAATGATTTGATTGGCTTTCGTTGGGCGGCTTCCCACCTGTGGAATGGAAAGGCTGAAGTAAGAATAAATTTGTCTCTTTCAAATTGACTTCTCTACAAGGTTAAAGCAGAGGGCACTTTGGTGTCCTACTGGCGCTGGTGATCCAAACCCCTTTCTCGTGGCTGCTGTGCAGTCTCCCGACTCCTGGAAAAGCGTGTGCTTACATGGCACTTTGTGTGAGTGACTCCTGCTTTTGGTTTGGTCTTGTCTTTTCGGCTTAGTGCTGGAGTTCACTCCAGAACAATGGTCTCTCCTAAGTTTTGTGTCACACGATGTCATACCTCTGACAGTGCCGGGAATATCATGTTTTTACCTGTTAGCCAAAGGGTTCAAGGAAATGACCTAATGGCTGTGTATTATTGAGATTGTCAGATTAAAGGAACATGGTAAGATGGTTAGCATCTTGCTACTAGTATCTGCAAGCTGTGTTTTCATTGAAAATTCTGTACAGTCTGCAGTTTTAAAAAATGTTTAAATATTTTTATTTTATTTTAAAAGAAGTTACAGAGAGAAGGAGAGACACAGAGAGAGAGGTCTTTTGATGTTTCTCGCCCCAAGTGTATTCAAACCCAGGAACCAGGAGCCTTTTTTGGGTCTCCCGTATGGGTATCGGGGCCTAATTGCTCAAACCATCCTCTACTGCTTTCCTAGGCCATAGGCGGTCAGCTGGATTGACAGTGGAGCAGCTAGAACAGGAATTGGCGCCCAAATGGGGTGCAGTGGTACCAGTGGAAGCTTAAGCTACTATAGTTTTGTTCATTAATTTAGCCAACAAATATTGGTTACAGCTCTGCTCTGTTTTAGCCTTTCTTCCTAATCTAAGCGAACATGGCACGGTGAGTAGGGAGCACCATGTTGTGCATAGTAAATAATTTGGATTTTATTCTTACTACAAGGAGGATTTTAAGCAGAAAAGGTACATAATTTGTAAATTCGTGATACATTATTTAACTGTGAGTAGACTATGCTGCCTTCTCTGCACACAGTGGACTGTACTCACGCATTATTTAACAATGAAGATACGTCCCAAGAAGCCATTATTAGATGAAATCATTGTTGTGCAAACATCATGGATCAGGTGCAGTCCGTTACATGATCTGATTGTTATAGACGATTGATCCTGGACTAAAAACCCTCATGATGTGTTTGTGTACTTCGTGCTTTAGACGTTGTGCGTGTAAACCTAGAAAAGGCGTGGTGGAAAGTGTGCCAAGTGGCAGGAATTTGTGAGCTCTATTATTTTATGGGAGCACTTTGTGCATGTGATCTGCTGCCTGAAATGTTATACAGGATGTCACTGTACTTAGAGAAGCAAAGAACAAACTGACAGAGAGTAAACTGTTAAAATAGTCCAGGGGAAAGACGATGGAGGCCTGGATTGGAGCAAACTCAGGGACTCAGTGACACAAGAAGTTGTGTCACTAAGTTGGAATGGACAGATTCAGGAAATGAAGGCCAGAAAGGAATCAGTCGTGATTCAGTTCTTTTTGGTAAAGGAAGAAAAGTCCAAAGAAGAACAGATTGGAGGATTGACAGTAGGATCTCAACAAATCAAGTTGGAAGTTATATTTCTAGTCTCCTGGAATGCTGAAGGTAAGAGTAGATTTGGGCTAAATTAGAATAGAGTTGACACTGAAAGCCTGGAACTAGAGAGACAGTCCTATGTCCAACCAAGCCCTACACAGTTTCCATAAAGTAGAAGTCATTTGAAAAGGTGTCAGTTGGCACTACATGGGGGCAATGGGCAAAGAAATCCAACAGAGAAAACTCCAAGCAAAGGAGTTCCAGAAAGTCTAGTGCTACTAAGAGTTCAATTACTGACAGGGAGAAATCATTGGATTTAGGATTGTTGATGACATTAACAACTGGGTTTATTTCACTTACTTTGGGTTAAAGAGAGAATGGGAACTAACAAGATAAAAATAATGAGTATAGACAGTTCTTCCAGGAAGTACTTTTTGGTAGAACACAGTGATAGCGTGGTTGCATGGGATGTGTTTTTTCTTTGGAAATAATTTAAGAGGTAGGAAGAAAATATAGGAATGGCAGACAGCTTAGAATCACAGTTGAAATGGGGAATGTTAGTGTGTGATCATCGAGGAATTATACAATTGCAACTAGCTGAAACTTCATATGAGCTTCTGGGAATTTGATGCCAGATACACAATTTGGGCAAAATTTAATGAATCTTTGCCCATGACATTTTGAATGTGATGTAGGTAAATTGATCTTATAATTTCATTTTTAAAAAAGGATTCTTTGTTCATTGGAAAGAGGTAGAAATTGCAAGTAGAGCAGCCGGGATCCAAACCAAAAGCCTTGGATGCTTGTGCTGCAAGTGGCATCTTTGGCTGCTATGCCTCAGCGCTGCCCCCTGCTTCATTCTTTTCAATAAAGAATCTTGCATAATGACTTTGTGATTAAAAATTATACACATTTTACTGAGTAAGTAGAAAACTTTTAAAACAATGCTGAATGTTTACATAGCTTTGGTTCTCTGAAGGTGTGCCAACAGGAATTTGGAGAAGGAATATTGTCGGTATTTTTGGCTCCGCTGTTGTAGGTTTTAAGAACCGTCTTAAAAGCTGGGCTCTCTTTTCCTCCTAGCAATTGGTAATCTGAAAGGATAAAGAGAGAAGTTATAAAAAGAAATGTCTTAGCAGCTTCCCCCAGAGAAAGACTATCCCTTGGAACAAAGCATGAAACACATCCTCAGAAATGATTTTCATTTGCAAAACTCAGACTCTTCCAGATCAGCTTTGCACTTGTAATTTAAGTTGTAAGAGACTTCACAGAGCCTGTGGTGTCTTGTCAAGCTCAGAACTGTTACACAGCTTAAAACTCTCAAGGAGAGCTGCCTGCAAATATCAGATGCATTTCCACCCTCATTTTGAGTTCCACCGAATGGAATGTGTGAGTATTCCTAGTGGAGAACCCCCCACAGAAGTTAAAATATATCAGAAGTCTTAGAGTTATCACTCCTTCTGTGAGATTAGCAGCCTTCTGTTCATTGCTCACATACAAAGAGATGTTTCAAGTCTCATAGTCGAGGACCAAGGCAGGCAACAGTTTGCATTCAGTCTGGATTTGAGCCATCTGTGGAGGAAAGCTGTGCATTTGGGGCTTCTTATCTAATGTGCCTGGTTCTCCACCTCCAGCATCATCATTCTGCAATTTGGCTGCACAGAAAGCTTGTAATTGCATTGGTGTTGATAAGAAGCTTTTCCCTCTGATGGAGGTCTATCGGGGTTCGGGTAATCACTGCTCAGGGAGCCATGCTCTTCCAGCTCAATCTCTTCCTGATGGTCCACGTGGTAGTTCATTTACCAAAAGAAGGAAGAATGGAGGAAGAAGGTTGCAGAACAAGTCTGCCCACTGCCTCCCAGAAGGGATCTGAGTACCTGTGGCAGGAGGCTTTTGCTTTTACCATGTTGACTAGCACTTGATTATATCATCATTCCCTGGAACAGGACAGTCTGGAAAATAGAGTTCTGGTTCAGCCCAACCACGTTGCAAACAGAACATCTATGGAAAACGATGCAACTTGATCCAGGCCTAGGAGCCTTATCCCAGGACTAGGATTCCAATCCCTTAGATCCCTATTCTGCATGTCCATGACTTACCATTTGACTCTTAGGGTTATCCTTCCTCTGTCCCTTCCTCTCACCTTAATGACTATTTGACGTGAAATCTATTGAAATATAAAAATGACAGCTCTTTTTGCAGTTAAAGCTGCATTGGGATGCAAGGCTTCCTGAGCAGAAAGCAGGTGAGAGGTTCCAGCCTGGAGTCCTGACTCAATGTGCCGATTGTACAGCTAGATACAGTGGTTGTGTTTCGCTGCTCTAGGATGCTGACTGCTCTTAGCTCTTGCTCTTGTGGGGTCTAGACATTTCCTTAAGTTTTTTTTTTTTATCTGAAGTGTTTTTGATTTGTATAAAACCTTTCCATTCTTATGATACTCTTCTGTGTAAAACTTTGCAATGGCTGCATGCCTGCCAAGTGTGGCCTTTGTTAAGTGGTTATACAGTGAATGCATCCTGTGTTTTGGGAAGTGCTGTGTTTAGCCATTAACAAGTTCAGAAGACTCTCAGGTTGTTTTATTTTTATTTTTTCCATTCCACAGGTAAGGGTAACATTTTTAATGTACCTGTTTCTATAAGATGGTTTATTGATAATTGCCCAGCTTTTTAACAACTTCTAACACAGCCTGGACATTTTACAATTTGTTATAGTATGTAAGATCCAACCTAAATTGAGAGAGAGTATTCAAGTCAGGGACTACTCCCCTTTCGCTTTTTTTTTTTCTTAATTGCAAAAGTCAATTACCTGTGACATCTTAAATAAGTGGTCGTATTTTTCTATGCTTTGTATAGCCTATGGCTGACTCATTTAAGTGGTTTCCATCTGGTTGCCACACACAGCCTGTATTAATAAGGAAAAGAGATTTGAGAATATTCTAGAGCTGAATGTGTCTGCCTCTCTTGCAGCTTTTTATATGTGTTTGGACTCACTATCATGCTGTTTAGCATGAAGATAAATTTATAGACAATAATGAAGTCATTAAAACAGTTATTAGTTTGTAAGAAATAATGCAATTATTCTTATATTCAGTATAAAATGTATGATTAGAAAGTATTTTTTTTTAATTATTTGAGAATAAGGAAGGGAAAGGGAAGTGGGGAGAAGGAGAGTGAGGATGTTATAGTTTTGCCAGTGAGTCCAGGGCTGAGCAGAACTGAAACTGGGAGTCAGAAATTCATTGCAGGATTCCCAAGTGGCAAACCTGAGCTCCGTCAACTTATACTGGAGCTGGGGCTGGCAGGTGGCTTGGTAGGGGTTCTGGAGAATATTCCCAATCAGACTGCTGCACCCACTGGTGCACACGGGGCAGGTAGAAAAGAGGGTCTTGGCCAGAAGTAAGCAACATGATCCCCAGTCTCAGGGGACAGAGCCCATCGATGCGTGACCTGGCCTTGGAGCACATGTTGCATGACTGAGCCACCTCTGCACTGATTCCCATGCAAGAGTGAAGCACATGCCCAGGTATACACAAAAGATAAGACACCCTGCTCTGTTTATCCAACAGAAGACATTGAGTATCTCTTCCAAGGCTGGAAAGATAAACAAACTGAATAACTCATCAGGCCAAGTTCTAAAGCAAACATTCAAGCCTGTGGACAGTCTGAGGTAGTCACGAGCAGCCAACAGGTCTTAGAATTACTCAGAGAGAACATTGAAGAGACTATGGTGAGGATAGATGGAGTTTGACACCTCTTGTCTACCAAAGTCAACAACTTCTCAGAACAATCAAGATGATGCAGGGGACATAGCCACTGAGTGCAAAGTCTTCAGCTGCGAGAAGGACCCAATGGATGATAAGAAACAAAATTAGCACAATTAGGCAGCTAATATAGGGCCTCAAGTTGGAAGGCATACCTCTGTCGTGCTATCTAAATTGCACCCACATACCATTCAAGTAACACCCCAGGGACACTTTCCCCTACACTCAGGTCCTGGAGCTGGCATCATGAGGCGACTCATTCCAGGGCACATGTGTAGTCTGATAGCAAGGAGCACTGCACCCTCTCTTCATCCTCCACGCCACCCCCCTACAGGCACAGGAGGAAGGACAGAAACATTTCTTTCATCCACCTTTTGCCCCACACCCAGACCAACTCCATCCCTATCCATGGACCACATGGGTCTATAATCACCTCGCCTTTGTAATAGACTTTAAAATCAATAATAATAATAATAAGTAAATTAACTGCAGAAAAAAAGCAACTATACAAAAAACTTCAAGAGAGACTCCTGTAACAGACCTGGTAATCAAACACATGTTCTCAGAAACAGCTGTTCCATCCAACTGCGCCCTGCCCCATCCTTTAAATGCTACCCTGAAACAGTTAATGAGAAAACTGTAACATTTTAATTAGACACAAAGAAAAAGGAAACAGCTTGAACATGAAAAACAGAATTGGATTCATCTACTTAGTCATATTTCTTAATACAATTACAAAGCAACAAAAAATTTTTTTTGAAGCAGGATATGGTCACAGTCAACATAAAATATACAAGGAAGAACAGAGAGTACTTTGCAAGAACTACTTAAAAGCAAAAAGAAGACAGTCTAGTTATTAAGATGCTCAAGGCTCACATGAGTGTCTGAGTGCTATTGTAGGCACCCAACTCCAGTTTCCTTCCAATACAGACACTGGGAAGCAATGGAGAGGGTTCAATTGATTGAGCTCCTGTGTATAGTGATTCTACCATTAATTTTTCTTAAAGATTTACTTAGTGGAAAGTCAGATATACAGAGAGGAGGGGAGACAGAGAGGAAGATCTTCCATATGATCATTCACTCATCATGTGACCACAATGGCCAGAACTGAGCTGATCCAAAGCCAGGAGCTAGGAGTTTCTTCCTAGTTTCCCACACAGGTGCAGGGTCCCAAGGCTTTGGGCCGTCCTCGACTGCTTTCCCTAGCTAAAGGCAGGGAGCTGGATGGGAAGCAGGGCCTTTGGGGTTAGAACCAGTGCCCTATGGAATCCTGGTGCATGCAAGGTGAGTACTTTAGCCACTACGCTACCGTCGCGGGCCTGATTGTGCCATTAATTTTTAATTCATGGTACTGGTGTTAAAAACTGAACTCATGTAGTTATGGAAAGCATTTCTGAAACAATTAAACATTATATTAAACCAAATCCATTTCTAAAGGTAAAACCTGTGGTACAAATGTCTGTTCCCCATCTTCCTCTCCCCTTGGGCACACAGCTAGTTTACTTTCTCTTCTGTTGAAGTCGTCAGATCTGCTCAAGTGCCCAGGTTCTGAGCAGTGGACTCAGACAGAAGTGAATTGTCCTCATTCTTGATGTGGCCGGGTGCTGTTTTCTGCAGATAGCTGAACATAAATCTCCCCCTCTTGTCCCGATGCTGTTATGTGAATGCGAAATCAGTTTCAGCTGTGTCAAATACTGAAATCCAACATTACGAATGTTCACCTATCCTGTTAGACTCAGAACCAAAAAGTATTTGTTTTCTCTTCTTTTTTGGAACTATGGAATCCAGCCATGTCGTCTGGAGGAACTGGGAATGGGACTTGGTGAATACAGGGTGTTAGCTGTGAGAGAAATGAGTACTTCAAACAGAGATTTATATCGGCTCTACGCACCTGATAATATCCTAGCTACTTTTTGGTTGCACAGTCTGACGGGAGTTGTGCATTCACCAGGGAGGTTTGGGAGGGTTCAGCCTCTGCAAGGCATTTGAGTTCACTCTAATTCATGAATATTCCTGCAGCAGAAAATTAACTTCGGTAATTGCATTGTTTTAAAGCCAGCTTACTGGAATCATCTGTAATGTAGTTTGGCAAGCAATGAACGGTTATCAGATGCCATTTGAAATAATTTACTGGTTAAAGATAAGAGTTATTAATTCTTGCTCAGGCTTTTCACTTGAATGTTAAAGTGTATTCATGCCTCTTCAATATGGTAATGGTTTTACTTTACATGCAAATATTAGTAATAGGCTAAAAAATTCATTGCATTGAAAATCAACTGTTTAATGAATTTTGTAAATGGCTGTGGGATTGTTGGTAAGTCTGATGTTTTAAAAAAACTCACTTGAGAGACACTATTAAGCATGGAGTTTTATCGTTTTTTTTTCATGTTTCCTTCAGGAAATTCTCTGCTGGGCACAGACTGATTCTTCTTAGTTTCTGTATCAGTCAATTGCTTTCTCAACCCTTTGAGAATGATGAGGATGCTGCTGCTTGAGAAGGTGTTTGGGTCTGGAAAGCCAGAGGAAGCTGTTTTTTTCTAATAGAAAAAGTCGTGGCTATTTTATTTTTCTTGGCATTTACTTGCTTTTTCTCTTTGTATTTATTTTCATTTCGGTAGTCTTGATTGTGGATAAATCACAAATTCTGTTGCTAGTTCTGTGCCTTTCTCACTTGCATGATCCAGTCAACCTCTTGGCTTGGCCATGGTTTCTTGTTCATTGACGCCAATAAAGTTATTTTCTAGAATAGCATATGATTTATTGAAGTTTTGATTTACTCTTTTTAAAAAGTTTTTTTTTTTTTTTTTTTTTTGGAAAGTCAGATATGTATAGAGGAGGCAAGACAGAGAGGAAGATCTCTCATCCTCTGATCCACTCCCCATGTGGTTGCAATGGCCAGAGCTGCACCGAACAAAAGCCAAGAGCCAGGAGCCTCCTCTGAGTCTCCCACGTGGTGCAGGGTCCCAAGGCTTTGGGCCATTCTCAACTGCTTTCCCAGGCCACAGGCAGGGAGCTGGATTGGAAACGGGGCTGCCAGGGACAGAACTGGTGCCCATATGAGGTCCCAGAACGTGCTAAGGTGAGGTCATTAGCTCATTGGTGATAATGAACCCACAATGAGAGGGAGGATATTTTTGAATAAAGTATTAAGAAAGAGAAATGGAAAGTGGAAGCCAAGTGGGAAAAGTGAAGGGAATGTAAGAATAGTATAGTTCTGCTTTACATATCACCAAATACATTTTTAAAAAAGGAAAAATCAGGCATGCGTGAGGAGATACAGAGGTTAATTTTTTTAAGTATATATTTGATTTATTTTAATATTTCCTAAAATTTACTTGTGATAAACTTTTTAATGTTAACTTTCGTCTTCTTTTTAATATATTTGAGATTCGAAGTGAGAGAATGCTCCTACTTGCTGCTCCACTCCCTGAATAGCTTTAATGGCCGAGATTGGGCCAGGTTGAACCGGGAAGTAAAATAGCTCAGTGTAGGATTCAAATACTTGAATCCTTGAATTCTACCTCACAGGGTAAACATTAGTATGAGTCTGGGGTTGGGAGTGTAGCTGGGAATGGAATCCAGGCACTACAGGTGTTTCCACCGGTAGTTGAACTACTGTGCCAAATGGCCATGCAGGTCTCCTCTGAATTTTATTTGCTTATTTATAAAATGTTTGTAAGTTGATTATCAGACCATTTGAAAAGACAAAAGGGACAGAAGCAACGGCAGTGCTCTTCTCTCCGCTTGTCTGTTTCTCAGAGGCCCGTAGCAGCTGGGGCTGTGGCGGGGAATGGCAGAAGTCGGGATCCAGGAGCTCAGTCCTGGCCTCCAACATCCTGGCCTCCAACGTCCTGGCCTCCAACATCCTGGCCTCCCAACATCCTGGCCTCCAACATGGGTGACAGTGTCCCGACTTCTTGACCTTGCTTATTGCCTTTCATTCTGCACATTAGCAGAAGGTGAAATTAAGAAGGGCTTGAATCTAAGCAGTCCAACGTGGGGTACAGACTGCTTGAGTGGTAGTTCAACTATTAGGCCTTTTCTTTTTTTTTTTTTTTAAACTTAAGAATTTAAAATCTTGCAGAGAAATGACTCTTTCTGGGCCAATCTCCATCTGTTCAGTAGCATGCCTAAAAATATGCTTCAGGACCAACTGTATAAATTCTTGAAAATACGATTGTCTATTCACATTACATGCCTTCCCTTTCTGCTTTTGGAATGAACAAACAAACAGAGCTCAGTGAAATTATATTGAATATGTGGAAATTGATTCTTTACTTTTACCTACTTCATGATGCATGCAGATTGCTAACTTTTTACCAGATGCCTCTAAAAGAAATTATAGTCAATCAAATGTGTTGCCTTATTTGTTTTTAAATGACACACTGTGCAACTAGCTTAACAAAGAAAACAAATCAGTGTAGTTACTTGTTACTGAAAATGAAAGTTGATTGGTTCCAAAAAGAATTTGCACGAACTGATGTGTAGACAAGCAAGAATTACAATTTGTTGGAAATGAGTGCTTATAATAAATGGTTGAAATATAATTCTTATCTTTTCTGCACATTTGTCTACAACTTATTTCTTTGTTAGTGGAAAATATTGTAATTGTGTTATCACTGTTATCACTGTGGTATTTGATGCCTCATTTCTGGAAGCTGACCGTTTGACTGCTTTTGACGCTGTGATTCTACAGCTACACTGTAGGCGCCACGAATTGTCCTGCCAATACTTCTGTTTGCTTGCTTTTTTGTTTAGTTATCTCTTAGTTAATTGTGTATTGGACAGATTTGGCTTTGAAACTTTGAATTCCTCTAGCAGCACAGCGGCCTTGTGATTTTTCTAAGCTGGATATTTTGTTCCTTGAATGCGCAGTAAGAGTGAATTTGCAGTGTCACATGAAATGACATAGCTAACGACTTGGTGCACAGATTATGTTCAGTTAAAAAAAAAAAGCCAGGAAATGAAAGAGATTTGTGTTATCTGTTAATTAGCTATTTCTAAGATTTGGTTATTTTCCTGTTTGATGAACATGTTCGGAATGATGTGAACATTGCATTTTTCATCTCATATTCTGAGGCCTGGGTTGCGACATTTTCTTGTTCATCCACACTGATTAGCATCGCTCAATACCATAACACATATCATACATTGCCAATGGTATGTCATGAGAAAGTTCACTGGGAACAAAGCTCTGTTTAAGTTGAATGCACTCAGTCGTGATTGGAAAAGTTATCCCTCCGCCATGTGGGAGAATCCGAAAGGGAGCTGACTGGTACACTGGTCTGTGCAGACCTCGCTGTCCATTACTTACGTTGTGTGATGGGCAGAACCACCAAGAACTGTGCCAGTCGGTCACTGTGAAAGTCGGCGGTGTGTTGCATCTCCTCTCTGCCTCATGCTGGAGACCTCCGCTTTCCAAAAGGCAAGACTCCAATGGCAGAGAAGGGTGCAAATACAGCAGAAGGAAGCTGCATTTTAGAGTCATGCGGCTCCCCCTTTGCCTCCATTATTTGTTTTTGTGGAAATAACTAAAAAAGCATGCCATAAACAGTGCCCTTTTTGTAAAGAATGAAATTAACTCCGTACTATATGGTATGGATGATATTTATAGTTTAACATCACGCCTGTCTGAGGTTTCTCAGGGCCATTGACGCCTGTGCCATGAGCACATGTATTATGCCTCTGCAGTAGTGTTCTGTGACAGCTCACAGTTCTCAGAGTAATTTTCACCAACCGTTTGTTTCATCCTCAGCTCCTGCTACCAGTAGAATTTACGTGTTTTTCTGACCCACCACACCCTTTTTTTACGATGCGCACTTGAGGCACTTCCTCCTAACAGGAGGGACAGGCATATTTGGGCACGTTGTGAGTCAGGCCTGTCTCCTGCATGCCAAACGCTCCTTCTGCCGTTAAAGTGTGCCCAGTGCCATCCCTGCTCTTGCTTCCCACCAGGTCTTGGCTTCCTTTCCATAAGAAAAAACACTTATGCCTCTGGGATTTTGTCCCTCTTCTCCACTCCTCTTCCTTGTTCAGATACTAAGTTAGTTCTTTGGTATGATTTTTAACCAGGTTAGTTAGGGATTGTATTTTTCAAAAGTGAAATTCTTCAGGCAATCTGCATCTCTTGTAGGCTTGTATTCAGTTGCTTACAAAAAATGATCTAAGGTCTTTTATGGTCTGAAATTCCCACTGTGTCAGGGGCTGGATAAAACAAGCAATAACCTAAAAATAACAAAATATTGAACTTTTGACTTGGACCAGAAGGTTGAAAAATGAAAAGCATGAAGACTGAGAATTATATATTCAAATTCCCTCAATCCTCTTCATTTGCTTACATTTATTTGAGTGGAAAGAGAGATAAACAGAGATAGACAGAGAAAAGCCTTCCCTCCACTGGTTCACCCCGCTAGTACCTGCAGTAGCAGGGGTTGGTCCAGGACAAAAGCCAAGAGCCAGGTTCCTTGGTGCATCCAGGGGATTCTTTTGCTCGAGCCATCATCTGTTGCATGACAATGTGTGCATGAATTGAAAGCTGAGACTGAAAGTGGAGCCTTCACTCTAACTTACACACTGCTATATGGTAGTTTGAAGCGGTGTGTTAACACCTACACCTAGCTTCCCACACCCCAATTTCTTTTCAATCCATCGATATTTGTGCAATCATGAATGTCGGTACTGTATAAGCCAGTATGCCCTTACTTTATGCTCTGGTTTATGCTAGTCTTAGAACATTTATCCCACTTACTTGTGCAATATTTTTAAGGTTTCCTTCCCCGGACTAGAAACTTACTGAGTTCTTTAGCTTTGTTGCTGCGGAGGGTTAGCCTCAGAAATATTTTTTCCTCGTGAGGATCTGAGAGAAATATGTGCGTTCCAGCTATAAATGACTGGCGAGAATGATTTACTGAATTCACCCTTTTTACTGCTTCTCCCTTTGAATGTCAATGGCATTTCCCTCAAGGGTATCATGTCATGTTTATAAAGCACATCACATTTTCTTTAGATGTTCTTCTTTTCTTCGGTTGAATTTTTAGTCATTAGGGGATGATAAACAGGCTGAGTGACCTCCCGAGGGTCGTGTTTTTGGTTGTTGGGATGTGTGGAAACAGTACTTCTTTGGGAGAAAGATTGTGGAACTGGAGCTGGGTTCATGGGAACAAGGCCAGCATTGACTAATTGTGTGCCAGTCTCTGGGTGGGATTGAATGATGCCAGAAGCATTTTCCTTTTCAATCCAATGAGTATTTCTCGGCCGTTGCCCTGTTTGCTGCACTAAATGAAAGCGTTCAGGGCAGAAGCTTCACTGAGCTAGGTATCAGAGCATCTAGAGGCTAAGAATGGATGCCACTGAAGTCAGACTAACTTGCATGAATAAAATTTGAACTTCACAGTGAATCAAATTGTTAGAATGAGTCTACTGATCTTAATGTTGTGGGTTCTGAGAAACTTTTTTTGTACTGGAGATTTTAATATAGTGCTTTAAAATTGAGATAATTCTCATCTTTCCCCTTTGTGGATGTTCCGGCTGCGTTTGAATTGACGACTATGTCAGCTTCACATTTTGGCAGCTTGTCTGAAGTCTACCCATTTTTATTTTGATCCTTTTGGAGTTTTCATAGAAATCAGACTTTGAAAAGTAAGATCCCACAGTCTGCTTGATAGCTAAAGAATTACGTAGACTTTCCTGGCAGTCCAGTGAGAGCTGCAGTCACTCCTTTGTTGGAACCAGCGGTTGCCTTCACCGGGCACTGTCTGATAAGGAAATACTTCCCAAAGAGAAAGTGAAACTGATTATTTAAAATACCTTGTTACCACGGGAGTTAAACATATTTGAATTAATTAGCTTAACCACCAACGTTTAAAATGTTCCTTATTTTTTTGATATATGATTTTAGCATCAATCTTCAAATGTATTTTATATTATAGATTTTAGATTTGTTCCACATCATTCTGTGTTGCAGATCAAATCGGGGTTCTTCATTAATGTAGAAGAAGACCACATTACCCCACAATTATTGAAACTGAGAGGTGAACTTTATTCCATAAATGTGCATAAATACATGGCAGTTTTATGGTCCAGTCTTGCACACGTGTGAATGTACCATGTTGAGTATTGCTCCTTTTCTGAAGTGGAAATCCAATCAGTTTGCAGAATTGTTGCTAAGTTGTTGGGTCTCTCTTCACAGACGTTGCTTTGGTAAGGAATCCATTTACAGAAGACAGAACTGTTATTTCTCACATTTGGCTGTTAAACGTACTTTGTTATAGATTTCAGCTGATTTCCGACTTGAAGCATGAGCTGGTATTCTGCCACCTACATCTATTAGAACATATGCTTGAAAAATTCAGTTAAATTGTGCATCTGATAAGATAGAATGTAAGGCGTCTGGACAGGAAGAGACCAAAGCAGTAGCCCAGGTACTGTGAAATGTGTGGCTAGCTGGGAGACCTCTGTTGGCCCTTGCCTCTCTAGCCTGTAAGGTAAAAGACACAGATCGATGGTCTGTTTTATAGCTATAATTCTATGGGTGTTGTGGGAGTAAATTTTCTTCTTCCTTGCAGTTCAGAAAGCTTATTCTTTTTGAGTTATTTCTTTTCAGTTACGTACGAATATCTCCTCCCGGCATCTTTCATCCATCTCTTCCAGATTAGCTGTCTGAAATGTTTTTCATTCCATTTCTTACCAATAAATTTGTCCTCCTTCTTAATGCTGGCGACAACTTCAGTATTATTCCTGTCATCTTAGCGACTTGAAGCATAAAAATACTCATTGGTCTTAAAGGAAAAAAATAGTATGTATTAAGGCTGTGAAGCCTGACCTTGGAACACTTCCTCTTTTATTGAATGCCCATTGCCAGAATAGAATTTGTTTCAAAATGCAGAGAAGTAATATATGTTTTAGAGTAGAAGCATCACCAAAGAAATATATAAAATACTTTCTTAAAGTGAGCACCCAGAAAAAATGAAATAACTCTTTTTAAAAATATATGTATTTTGTTTTTATATTATGAATTAGAATGAGCAACTGTTCTAGTCCGTTTGTGGAAATGGAACTAAGGTTTCGAAAAATGTGAAATTTAAAGTCCTCAGTGGAGGTTGAAGAACTTAACTGAATTTTGGTTGTCGTCATTATTTTGTTATTCTAGGGATTTTATGAATGTCAAATGATCCTTATTTCTTGAAAACAGCTTGTTGTAAAGAACAGTTGTGTTGATAAACAAGTAGTTTCTTTGGCAAAAACAGAGATATAATTGCTACATTTTCAGTGACTTCTTTTGAGAACGCTTTAAACTTAAAGAATATGAATATGTTCTTTTGTTAACACTAATTGAAGGTGAAGCAATATTGGTTAAGAAATTATTTGCTAAACATAGACATTCTAATATAATAAATGAAGGGAGTGGTACCAGTGGAGTTGGGCTCTCATGAGGCAGAAACTTTTTACTTCGTTGAATAGATTTCCAGTACCATATAAAGCAAGAGAAATCAGATCAGATAGAATGAAAAACCAGATAGATTGATCAGACACTTTTGGCTGTGTCTAAGCTTGATGTCAAAAAAAAAAAAAAAAACCCACAAAAAAAAAAACAAAAAAATCACAAAAGGCCAAGTAGCTTAGAGGGAAACCACCAGAAAAGCAGACTCTGCCACTGATTCCACATGGAATTGAATGAGCGTCTTAAAACCCTCTTCATCGGTAAAGCCAGAGGTTATGCATTGGAATATATATGACTTGATTCCGACTGAAAACTCTGGAGTCAAGAATTTTGTTTCTTTCCTATTTCCTCTTACCCTTTGGCTTCCAGAGACTAAAATCAAAACTGATCTCTCTCTTTTGAATTTCTTCTTTTCAGTTCACTTTTTTATTTGCTCTTCTCTTCAAAAGAATATGTTGTTCTATTAAATCTGAGTCAAGTAAATTCACAGCACGTGCTTTACCTGGCTTGTGTGACTCTGGGAAGTCTGGCTGACCTTCCTCCCTTCCTTCCTTCCTTCCTTCCTTCCTTCCTTCCTTCCTTCCTTCCTTCCTTCCTTCCTTCCTTCCTTCCTTCCTTCCTTCTTTTCTTCCCAGATAGTCATTACAGAAAATCATCATATAGGATTCATACTAAAATTTGCAGATTGTCTTACTACACTTAGTTGAGCGTTTGCCTAATAACAAAACTTAACCTAATGAAAAAATTTTTTGGATACTTAACTTTAAGTATATAGATGAGACATTTTTTTATTTGGTATTTCTGAATCCAAAAAGTTTTGGAAGATGAAACAAAATTATTTAGAAAATTTATCTGAAAAATATTCAGTAGTAATCTAATGGGAATTGACAGAGGAGTGCTTATAATAAACATCTCCATGTAGAACATTTTTGTTAATGCAGAAGCGTCTCACTGAGAACTTTGTGTAAAATCTACACTCTGTTTTTCCTCAAATAGGAAAAGTTTTGAATTTCCAAAACTCATCTGGCCAGATTGGGATTTCGGGTCAGAGACTGATGACAAATAAGAGAGCTTTATAATATACCTTATCATTCTTGATTTTCCCAGAGGATTAGTGAATGAACATAAAAAAAAAAACATTCGTTTCTTCCGGTTACTGGTGCAGGAAATGAAATAAAACAAATAGTATTTTGTAGATTGATGCTTACAAAGATTGAATACGATTTTGGAATAATCGGCCACAAAAAGTGAAACAGAGAATCTTGATTAAAGTACGAGGGAGTACATATTCATAGATATTGATGCATATCACTTGTCATCTTTAAAATCAGGTTTGTAAAGGCAGGCGCTGTTTAGTTCAGTTTCGCTAGAAATGATTGGAAGAACTTCTGAATACAAATAGTAGTATGTAGACCAACATTATCATAAAACACTAATTAAACCACTGCTTTGGCAACATTCCTTATTTCATGGAGTGACTTGGCTTTGAAAACAAAGTAGTAAAAGTTGTTATTTTAATGGCAAACACAGATAGCTTTGACTCAGCAGATTGGATCTGTTTTAACTATAGGAAATGAAACCGAATAGATTTTGCAAAACAGTGCTTTTTATATTTCTGATCTATGGTCATAGAGGACTGGTCTAAAGCGGGATTGAAACTTGTTCGTTACATAACAGACGGGGATTGTCAAACTGTGATGGGCGACTTGATTTTTAATGAAAGGACTAAAGATTCAAATTCGTCACCTCTATACTTTTTGAGAAATAGATATCTTTATTTTTTTTATATATTTAAAAATCCTAAATAAAGCAGTTTAAATCCTTAAATGATTTCTGATTGATGGACTTTAACTCAATATTCTTACTATATAAAGCACATTTTTAACAAAGATTATATTGAGCTGTGGAATGCAATATTTCAGTGTGGCTTTCAAGTAAACCACACAGGGACAGAAATAATGGTTATTGAATAATTTAGAAAATGGCTCATCAATTATTGATGCACAGCCTCACAATTTGTTGTATCTAAAAGGGCAATTTGTCAATATCTGTAACCCGACTGTCATGTCCTTGTTACCATGCTCCATAGCATGCAAGGCTTTATGTTAACAGTCAGCATGATTGCTTATGTTTCTAACAGCTCCTATTCCATTCAGTTCCTGACTCATTGGGTCTCCACCCATACTTGTGCTGAAATCTGTAATACTCATGAGTTTCTCTGTGTCCAGAAATGCTGCACTCCTCTCAAAGCTTTCCCTGTGTGGCTGATCTTCCTCATGATACATTCCTCAGCCTCTGAACGGTAATTTGAGGGATGTGTTTTATCATGAAAAATACTTTTGAATTCATTCAGAAACAGAATCTCTGATTTAATCATATTACATACAGATCATAGAAGAGTTTTTAGCATTGAGTTCCATCTGTCTTTTTTATGGAGGTTGTTCTTTTAAATCCCGTTTGGAAGTCTGTGTTTTTTTTTTCCAAGTTTATGTGAAAGATGAGGAGACCACAGATGCACCTGCGGCATGTTCAGGGAGTGGAGTGGGTTAACTATCTGTTTTAACTAGTACATGTGAAATTGTAATGTTTTTTTTGAAGGATCTCTTGTGTAGGTTAGAATGAGGGTTGGGAAATTTCATGAAGAAAATTCTGCCTCTTTCCTCTTCTTAATGGCTTACTGGTTCTTTTTTTTAAAAAAAAAAAGGAAAGAAGAATTGGGAGAAAGGAAGGCTTAAATGATAGTGCAGGGATAGAAAGACCGTTGCTTCATTTGAGGTTGTTACTGGAGGATTAACCTATACAGAATCCGTGCTGATGCTGTTCAGTGTGGAGGTAAATGGTTTGCTGAGAACTGCATAATTATTTCAAACAGATCAGTTTGTTGGCAATGCATTTACTGCGTGGGTCTCATTTCCCACTACCCAAGTTGCGAATATTCCTGGAGCAAATACTACCTGCCTGGGAAATGAATGAATATACATACGTGTGTGTGAATATCACCGCATTTTGAACAGATTAATTTTGCTTTCTCCTTTTCTCTGCATTCTACACCCAGAGAAAAGTCCTTGCTGACTTATATAGAGCTATAGTAATAGAATACTGCCTTTCCATGGGTGTTGGCGCTTTCTCAGGTTATTCAGTGAATCTGTCGTGCTAAAATTGAGGATGCCAAGTCATGGATTTACAATCCTAGCATGCATTGCACAGAAAGGGAATGTGAGACAGCACGCTGTTGATATCCACCTGAAAATTCAAACCTGACCAAACGAGATTAACATGCACAGATTCAAGTGCTAGACAAAACTATATCCTAGGGCCTCGATATCATTAGTGTCACCGTAATGTATTGCTGTAATAAAAATCCATCAAGGACAAAAGAGTGCATAGTGACTGAAGAGCATTCCTATAGACCAATTGATGGTTGCTTCTCCCTGTGCTAGTACTGTAATAAGATCCTAGTATTCATTTGCCTGGCTTCTGGGTAGCTACCCAAACAAAATATATACTGTAATTTACTTTATGCCTATTTACTTGTTCTGAAATGTCAGTATTCCAAGACTTTGAAGGACTATTTGTGGCTTTTTTCTTTTCCAATTTTATAATCATTGTTAAAAATACCGAGTATAACCTTGTCATAGTTTGGTTCAAATTGAACTATAAATGAATGCACCTGAACCCTCTGCACATAATGTATAAACAGACAATGTGGCTCCTTTGTTCTCATTTCACATTACGCAGCATAGTAAAATATCATTACAATGCTTATTTCATGCAGATACATAATAGGTCAAGCTGTATCCCTTAAAATATTACATATGTCAAAACCTGCTCTGTGATGGAAAGACAAGTTTTATTCATCTCTCCTAAAATTAGACTTACAAGCATAAGTTAATTGGATTGAGATTGCTTATCTTTAATAAAATATAAAACGCTTTTTCTTCTGTCTGATTTAAGATGCACATGGTGAGGTAGCTGTATATCCAGAGCCATGAACTGCTACACATCCATTCAATAAAGAGATCAAATAAGCTTATCTTTCAAAATTTTCATTTGAAATTCTGGACTGAACTTTCAAAATCTTCTGCTATTTGATTCTCTAAATAAGAAATGTTTTCCCATGTGTTTCACTTTTAATAAGCAGATGAATTCTCGTCTGGTTGAGGCTTCCAGAATTCTTGTGATTCTTGTCTAAAAGAAAGGAAGTACTGAAGACCAGAGAAGTGAATGAAATAGAGGTTATAGAATCAATAGAAAAGTTCAAGGAAATGATGAATTTATGATAATTTTGTTATTCATTTAGAGGCAGGGGAGATCAAGACAAGCAGAGATCTGTCATCCATTAGTTCACTGTCTTGCTACCCGTAATGATTTGGAGCTGAGCTATTCCAAAGCCTTGAGCCAGGAACATAGTCTCGGTGTTTCACGTGAGTGACAGGGACCCACCCTCTTGAGCCCCAGAATGCCTTCCTTCCTGAGCTGGGACCGCAACCCAGGCAATCTGACACATATGCAGGCATCCAAAATGACCTCAAGTCGTAGACCAAATGCTTCCCCAATCGTGTGTTTTGAATAAAAATAAATCAGCAAATCTGTAGCAAGACTAAATAAAAAGAAAGGACTCAAATCTTTTCAAAATCGATGTCCACAAAATTCAGTTCAATATAGCTTACCATAATAAAGGGCTTCCTGTTAGGTTCATTAGAAAATCTGAAGAATATTGAAATAGATATCTACAATATCTAAAGAAATTGTTGAGGAATGTGAAGATCAATGTTTTGGGAATTGAATGACATCAAAATAGTACTTCTGATCCAGCTGCCTGCTAATGCCAATGGGAAAGCACTGGGAAAGCACTGGGAAATGGCCCACCTGTGGCATCCCTGCAACCACATGACAAACCCAGAAGAATCTCCTAGCTCCTTGCCTGTGCCAGGGTTCTGGCCATTGCGGCTGTTGGTGAAGTGCATCAGTGGAGGGGAGACATCTCTTTGCTTCTCCTTATCTCTCAATCTGTAACTCGGCCTTTCAAATAAATAAAATCCTTTTTTAAAATAGCAAATGTGAGATTTTAGCGTTTTTCAACCATTTTCTAGTTTTGAAATGCTGGAGGGGCCAGCATCGAGGTAGTGTAGGTTAAACCTTTGACTGTGGGGTCACCATCCAACACAGGTGCTTGCTCGAGTCCCAGCTGCTCTATTTCCAATCAAGTTCCCTGATAATATACTTGGCAAAGTACACTGGAGGAAGGCTCTAGTCCTTGGGACGCTGCACTCTCATTGGAAACCAGGGGGAAGCTCTGGCTTTGGACTGACCTACTCAGGAGTCATTTTGGTTGTAAAACAGTGGATGGATGAGCTCTCCCTGTCTTTCCTTTCCTATGTCTGTGCCTTTCAAGTAAAAATAAATGAATCTCTCTAAAAAAGAAACACTGGAGTTGGGTCTAGAGGTGCCTAGTAGGTCAGTTTATTTTTCAACCTGTAGCACTGAAGAGTCGGAAAACAAAATTTTGTGTGCTGCAGAGTACTTCTGGCAAGCCTGTACGTGTCTGAGAGTGAAGGGTAGAATAATCTATTCTCAGGTTTCAGCTCCTGACTTGTAGCTGAACAAAGAAAATTGAGAAGTGAACTGAGCATCTCAGCTGGAGTGGAGGACTGCTTGAGATTCGTTAAAATATTTTGATATATTTTTCTATAGTTTGCTTTCTTTGTAAATTTTTTAAAAAGATGTATTTATTTATTTATTTTAAAGATATATTTTTATTAATTTTTATTGGAAAGGCGGATATACAGAGAAGAGAGACAGAGAGGCAGATCTTCTATCCGATGATTCACTTCCCAAGTGAGTGCAATGGCTGGAGCTGAGCCAATCTGAAGCCAGGAGCCAGGAGGTTCTTCCGGGTCTCCCACGCGGATACAGGATACCAAGGCTTTAAGCCATGCTCAACTGCTTTCCTAGGCCACAAGCAGGGAGCTGGATGGGAAGTGGAGCTGCTGGAATTAGAACCAGGGCTCATATGGGATTCAGGGCGTGCAAAGCAAGGACTTTAACCACTACGCTATCACACCAGGTCCAACTTTCTTTGTAAATTTTAAAAGTCTGATAGGAGATAAAGGGATGTGCAATTTACAGAAGAAAGTGTTTTAGACTTTGGAGGATACGTTGAAGCAAGGTGTTATGAGATATAACACTGGCTTCTGCTTACTTGTTGCAATCTTTTACATGTGGTTGGAAGAATATGATCCAGGAATCTCATTTTACAAATGACAGAAATCACAGCATTTTAGCTCCCACTTATGGATTACAGAAGGACTGAACAATCTCCTAAAATTCTTATTGGGAAAACGATCCTCTTTCTTTAGCTCCCCATTATTTCTGGATAATTTTCTGACATGCCTGTACTTGGGAACTAAGACTACTTTGCTCTTGTTCTTGGGTTAAGACATTTCAGAAAGGAAAGTGATGATATGGGGTGAGCATTTGAGTTCAAATACACACATGACCTTCTGTGGGATTTCAATTGGATCAGTAAACAAATGCATAAAGAAAATGGATTATCCGATAAATATTGAACATCCGATGACTGCCCAAGTCATTCCTTTAGGCTCGCCTAGCTATCTAGATGTCTAGGGCTTGATTCATTCAGTAAAATAAGAGGTGAAAAAAATTTTCATTTTGTTTAAAATTTGCTGAAGAACAGAACATAATTTATAGATTTCAGTTTAAAACATGTGATTCTAAGAACATACAAAAAGAGTGTGTCTGAAACACAGACTGACCTGGGTTTTTCTCGAAAACCCCAAAGTGCAATTGTAGCTCCACTTACTCTAAAATTCCGAAGGCATTTCCCCCTGAATAAAAAATCAGAGCTTGATGCTGATTTTTTTTCTTTCTTCCCATATTGATTTTGCTTCCTTTCATTTTCCCACAATATTTTTATAGTATATATTATGCACAGTGATACCAACCTACTCTTAAATCCACCTAAATGTTGTTCTTTGCGGGTTTTTGGCGGTACCTGTTAGGTCCTTTAGCTTACTCATCCATGTCTGCTTGTAGTAAATTGTTTTCCATTGATCCCTGCAAGCTACAAAGTGAAACTGATTAGGATTTTACAGTCCTGGTGATTTTCCTTCTGGTATTCAATCAAGAAAACCCTGTAACCCAAGGAGCTGATGAATCATTTTGCAGGGCTTGTGGTTCCTATTTTATGTTTGAAAAATTGGGTATGGCCACGAGCAAGGGAATGTCTCTTAATGTCAACAAGACAAAACAATCAAGTGAAGTCATCAGGTTAGCTTTGATCTCTGATAAATATAACACACTGTGCTTGTTTTTAGCAAATAGAGTTCCCCAGAGAGCATTTCATTCACGTAAAATTTCACTTCTGTAAATTATAATTGCTCAGACTGGAAGCAGACTAAAATTATTCAGCACCTGCCACTGGGTGTCTCCCATTGTCCTGGGGGCCTTGCACCTGTTAGGCCATTAAATCATCACAGCTGGTTCTTACAGTGGAAGTATGGATTTTCCCGTATTACTGAAATGCGATTGAAACATAGCCTTGCCAGGTAACTCTTGCTACACCCCCAGCTAGTTTTCGGGAAGACTGGAATTTGAATCCCATTTGTCTGACACAAACCACAGCGGGCTTCCTCATTGGAAGTAGACAAAGGAATGAATTAAGGGTTCATTTTGGATTTTAACATTAGTTTACATGAAAAACGAGCTTGCTGCCATTGGTGGAGTTGGTAGGCTTTTGAGAATTAATTCAGTTTGGGACTGAACAAAATCTTTGCCACTGTGCCAGGTTTCTGTCACATAGTATTGCCAGAGCAGTAGGGGTATCCCAATCATCAGACATTTCATTTTACATAGTAAAACTTCAAAGGGTAAGAGTGAATCTTGGGAAAACAAATTCATAGTTATGTTAGCTAGCCCCCTTAGCTTGTTTGAGGCACAGTGAGAGTTGATTTAGACTTGGCCTTTGATTTAGGACCATGAATCCCAAAGCTGGTCTCTTGGCTGTGGTCCATCATCTGCCATTTGTCACTGCCTTCTTGTTACCGTTGTGTATTTCCCACTGCTACTGGCTTATGTTTTACTGCTACAATAGCTTCTAACTTGATCACTCTTATGTTTAAGCTTTTCAAAATGCTACTAATTCTGCCTCAATACACTGTTTTACTCTGTGCCGTAATTCCAATTGCATAGCATTTGCCAAATAACAGAATTACGGAGACAGAGACCTTATTAACAAATACCTGAGATTAAAGATGTTTGGGTGAAGGGAGGCAGAAGTGACTTCATAAAGGGTACCATGAGGGAAACCATCGGGTGATTGAATAATATTGCATCTTGATTTGCATAGTGGGTAGCTGATGCGTGTGTGATTAACTGACATTGAATTACAGAGAAATTTACTTTTCTCCTTAGAACCTTTCCTGCTTTTGGTATTCTACTGAAGACTGTAATATGCAGGCAGTGGGGGGCATGGAGTAGAAGACACTTGAGATCTCCATCGTTCGTGATTTTATGTGATTAACTGTTACCTAAATGTACAGAAAGGAAAAAAATCA